ATTACTCTCTATTTATATGTGACCATAATTGACAAAAGGGCCCTTATGGCAGATTTTAAAATTGATCTTAATAATGGCAAATATCAACCTGTGAGTGCTTTGTTAGACAATCATTGTTTCTAAAAGTTTCATGGTAACTTTTTGCATCCTGTGGAGTAATTTTATGATAAATGGGGCTCAGGAAGTTGGATTTCTTAGGCTAGAAAGACAAATTTCACTACCCGCCATAAGGTACCTTTTGTCAATTATGGTCACATATATACACTGTATTTGCTCGATTAAAGGGATACTGGCGCAGTTTACAGAAGAGCTAGTACATGGAAAGTTTATAAACAAAAAATGGCTGCGGTGTACAAACGCTACACACAAATTTTCAAGTACATGTTAAATAGCAGCTCAGTGTATGTACAATGACATAAACATAAACATAATGTACATAAACTATACAATGACATCACTTTAATACAATAAACGAGACACCTACGGTGCATGGCCTCGCCCCTATAGCTGCTATGGTGCATGCCCGCACTTCAATAACTGTTTGATTATCAGCATGAAGAGAGTCTGCTCAACACTAGCTTCCTACAGTTGCACTTGCTCTTGAATACCTGCAGAAGTAGCAGCACTGCAGCACATACATGCAAGCAGCTCCAGCCCCTCCCATGCATGTAGATTGAAAGGTGTGGCATTCCATGAGTGACAGCAAGAAGACCATGTGAGAAAGAAGCTTCACTTTTTCTTTACTAATCAGCAATATATGATAAACTTGCTGACAAAAAAAGTTGCTGCCTTTGTATATTTGAGATAGTATAGGTACTTTAGTACCTATAACCCAGCAAGTTGTTGCTCTAGCGCTGCACAAACGAGTGACCTCAACAATTTCAAGTAAGTATAACTCTTCATCAAGTAAGATTTAGAGAAATCTGTTCATAATTTTTGAAGGCCATGTTCTAATCTACTGAAAAATGCTACCAGCTATCTCTAAAGTGCCAATACAACGGAACTTGGCCCAACTACTTGATTTTCTTACTTTGAAGCTTCTGTACCTAGCACTTGTATTTGAGCAACACAAAACAGTTAAGAAAGACTTTTCCACGTCAAAAAGAAAGATCTAGGAGCTTAGAACACGCTGTGCTAAAGTTATTGTTTATTAAAAGCAAATTTCAGTTGTACAGAATGAATGAATGAATGAATGAATGACAGACACACACAACAACTACCTATACCTCGCGTAGGCGAGGCCAATAATAACACACTAATCACTGAATTAATAGGTACATATAGATCTGATATTGCTCACAGAGTAATGACAGAATGTACTTCACTAGTAAAGGATTGTGGGACTGATATTCACTTCTTAGTTAATAAATTGCTTCAATACAAAATTGTAAATGTTAGAGAAAAGAGAAGAATAGTTGCGCGAGAAAGTGACGATGAAAGAATGGATGAATTGCTTCTCATCATTTTGAGTTCCATTTGTATGGATGGAAAAGTATTTGGTATATTCTTAGATATACTCAGAGAAGAAGGTACTCTAAGAACAATTAAACTAGCTAATGAGTTAATACAAAAATATGATTTTCTTAAAACAGACTAAAAAGTATTTCTAATAATGTATATACAAAAGTATTTAAATTTTTGAAATGACTATACATTGATGCAATCATAAATAATAGAGTAATAGTAATAATAATATTAATAGTAATAATAAGAATAATGTTGTGACCGAAACGCGTGAAAGGCAACCAAGGCAAAACTCTCAGAAGTATATTTTACAATTTGAATAAAACTGAACAGAACATTCACAGAACTGGTAACAGATTAAAAGCATGCACTTATATAAACAGTTACTGATTACATAACAGAACATAAACATTAATTAACACATAGTTACATCATCATTGCATAATCATAAATCATAATAATAACAAAGAACTGAAATGCCTAGCAGTAAAGAAAGTAATAATAATAGAAATAATAATCACTATAATACATAATAAGAATAATAATAATACTAATACAACGAAAGTAATAATCCTAACAATATAACAAATAACAGTAATTAATTGGCATCACAAAGCAATGTACAGTTGTCATTTTCACAGACACTAAAGCAAATGCTTTTTGAAAGATAAACAGGGTCCACTATTGATATTTTAAAAAATGAACTGGGAATATTACATGTCTCATAATATGCGGTTTTTATGGTTGATAAATCCATCAGCATTAGCCGCTGTTTTTGCCTTTACATTATTATTAGTTATAGCATATTTGTTGGTTTAGCAGTATATGATGGAGATGCATGCAGTTCTGACTGAAGAATCAGCATCTAATTATACACAAAAATAGTTATAACAGGATCACCTTGATTAGTATTAGCAACACTGTGCTGTTTTGTGATGTCACTTATACTGAACTATATCAGATACTCATTGGATTAGACTTAAAACTGTGCTATACTGATTACATTAGCAGCCTTTGTAGCTTACTCACATATTACAGGAAGCATACTAGCTGATAAGTATGGGCTTTATTTTAATGGTGAAAAGTGTGCCATATCCCATTATTTTTATGTACGAAGTGAATGTATATAGTGGCAAACGGTTTCTACTTTTAAATTGTAAAAATCAGCCACACTTTTAGAAAAGAATGGACAGACAGACCACCAATGGTTGAAGGTGCAGCTGTAGCTACTATAAATACTGCAATAATTGCAAGTCCAATATTATCATCACTGGTCATTGAACCTGTTGTTGTTTTTATACTATGCTAGATAATGATATTATTATTATCAATTACCAAACATTCTTAGCATTCCTTTCTTAAGACAATCCGTTGATTTAAATAAATAATCTACATATTCAATGCTAGATAATTTTATTGGTATTCAAATAGTGCATTTCTTTACTCAACCAATTAATAGCAATAAATTTATTATAATTACTGATCTCATTGATACATCTTTTTATATTTTTGGTGTATGTGCCTATACTGATAATGGATATAGAAAATGGACATTTATTGTTAATGGGACCCTAGAGCTGCCACAACCATCAACTTGCTTTCCTTCAAATAACAATGCATTTAACACTAATGATTCATTCATCACTGCTAATAGTGACACATCTAATACTGTTATTTGACTCACCACGCTTGTTGCTCTAAGTGTGTTAGTAGGTGTATTGTGTATTCTACTACCTGCCAGTGTTATTATTCATATCAATCATTCAATTGCTTTATAAAGTTTAGTTTATTATAATGAGTGTTAGTTTTATTGTTTTCCCTTTAGAAAGAAAAGTTTATATGCTACTGACAAGCAAACAAAGTTAGCTCATTATCTTATGACTTGCCACTTACCAAATATAATGATATAAGTGATGATAATATTCCAATGCAAGTCTGTGAAATGTGAACCATACAAAATTCACAATAGAATAAATAAATAAAAATTAAGAAGCATATGCAGAATGTGAAACATCACCTGATGATATTTATGAACCTATGCCCCTGGCAATGCGGAATGTTCTTTAAAAACTGCTAAAATGTTTCCTCTAGTTTTAGTGTAGTTGCTAAGGAAAAATGCTATACAATAATTAGTGAACAAACAAGGTTTTGCAACCATCCATTTTACTTAAGAGAAACAGAGACGTCATCCAGCGCCCACATGTCACAGAATAGGGAGAGATCAAAAAACTCTGTCGCCAAAGAAAAGACACTTGATCCAAATCTTGAACTTCAGTGGTGACACTATAAAGTATTGAGCCCTCACTGTTAGTTACAGTGCATGGAACAGTAATATCAGGATCAGCTCCGGTTGAGTATAAGGTCATTGTGGAATCTGGATAACATTTTGAAACTTTAAAGTATCTAGTCTCAAAGGCTACATTGTTATTATCAGCATAATAATGTACTGGAGTG